GACCTCTATGGGAGCCTATGGGGACCTCTATGGGGAGCTATGGGATCTCTATGGGGAACTATGGGGAGCTATGGGACCTATGGGACCTCTATGGGAGCTATGGGAGCCTATGGGGAGCTATGGGACCTCTATGGGACCTATGGGGAGCTATGGGACCTCTATGGGGAGCTATGGGACCTCTATGGGACCTCTATGGGACCTCTATGGGAGCTATGGGAGCTATGGGACCTCTATGGGACCTATGGGAGCCTATGGGGAGCTATGGGAGCCTATGGGACCTCTATGGGGACCTATGGGACCTCTATGGGACCTATGGGGACCTCTATGGGACCTCTATGGGGAACTATGGCAGCTATGGGACCTCTATGGGGAGCTATGGGACCTATGGGACCTCTATGGGACCTCTATGGGACCTCTATGGGAGCTATGGGACCTCTATGGGAGCCTATGGGACCTCTATGGGAGCCTATGGGGACCTCTATAGGGAGCTATGGGGAACTATGGGAGCCTATGGGGAGCTATGGGACCTCTATGGGGACCTATGGGGAACTCTGGGAGCCTATGGGAGCTATGGGAACCTATAGGACCCCTATGGGAACCCTATGGGAACCACAGCATCCCCTATAGGACCCCTATGGGCACCCCTATAAGACATCTATAGGACTCCTATGGGACTCCCTACAGGACCCCGTATGGGACCCCCTACAGGACCCCTATGGGGAGCACAGCATCCCCTATGGGACCCCCATGGGGAGCACAGCATCCCCTATGGGACCCCCATGGGGAGCACAGCATCCCCTATGGGACCCCTATGGGGAGCACAGGATCCCCTATGGGACCCCTATGGGGAGCAGAGGATCCCCTATGGGACCCCATGGGGAGCAGAGGATGCGCTATGGGGAGCAGAGGATGCGCTATGGGACCCCATGGGGAGCAGAGGATCCGCTATGGGACCCCTATGGGGAGCAGAGGATGCCCTATGGGACCCCATGGGGAGCAGAGGATCCGCTATGGGACCCCTATGGGGAGCAGAGGATGCCCTATGGGACCCCATGGGGAGCAGAGGATGCGCTATGGGGAGCAGAGGATGCGCTATGGGACCCCTATGGGGAGCAGAGGATGCCCTATGGGGAGCAGAGGACGCGCTATGGGGAGCAGAGGATGCGCTATGGGGAGCAGAGGATGCCCCATGGGGAGCAGAGGATGCCCTATGGGGAGCAGAGGATGCGCTATGGGGAGCAGAGGATGCGCTATGGGGAGCAGAGGATGCGCTATGGGGAGCAGAGGATGCGCTATGGGACCCCATGGGGAGCAGAGGACGCGCTATGGGGAGCAGAGGACGCGCTATGGGGAGCAGAGGATGCCCTATGGGGAGCAGAGGATGCGCTATGGGGAGCAGAGGATGCGCTATGGGACCCCATGGGGAGCAGAGGACGCGCTATGGGGAGCAGAGGACGCGCTATGGGGAGCAGAGGACGCGCTATGGGGAGCAGAGGATGCGCTATGGGGAGCAGAGGATGCGCTATGGGACCCCATGGGGAGCAGAGGACGCGCTATGGGGAGCAGAGGACGCGCTATGGGGAGCAGAGGACGCGCTATGGGGAGCAGAGGATGCGCTATGGGGAGCAGAGGATGCCCTATGGGACCCCATGGGGAGCAGATGATCCGCTATGGGGAGCAGAGGATGCGCTATGGGACCCCATGGGGAGCAGAGGACGCGCTATGGGGAGCAGAGGATGCGCTATGGGGAGCAGAGGATGCGCTATGGGACCCCATGGGGAGCAGAGGATGCGCTATGGGGAGCAGAGGATGTGCTATGGGACCCCATGGGGAGCAGAGGATGCGCTATGGGACCCCATGGGGAGCAGAGGATGCGCTATGGGGAGCAGATGCGCTATGGGGAGCAGATGCGCTATGGGGAGCACAGCATCCCCTATAGGACCCCCTACGGGACCCCCATGGGGAGCAGAGGACGCGCTATGGGGAGCAGAGGATGCGCTATGGGGAGCAGAGGATGCGCTATGGGACCCCATGGGGAGCAGAGGACGCGCTATGGGGAGCAGAGGATGCGCTATGGGACCCCATGGGGAGCAGAGGACGCGCTATGGGGAGCAGAGGATGCCCTATGGGGAGCAGAGGACGCGCTATGGGGAGCAGAGGATGCGCTATGGGGAGCAGAGGACGCGCTATGGGGAGCAGAGGATGCGCTATGGGGAGCAGAGGATGCCCCATGGGGAACAGAGGATGCGCTATGGGACCTATGGGGAGCAGAGGATCCGCTATGGGGAGCAGAGGACGCGCTATGGGGAGCAGAGGATGCGCTATGGGGAGCAGAGGATGCCCTATGGGACCCCATGGGGAGCAGAGGATCCGCTATGGGGAGCAGAGGATGCGCTATGGGACCCCATGGGGAGCAGAGGACGCGCTATGGGGAGCAGAGGATCCGCTATGGGGAGCAGAGGATGCGCTATGGGGAGCAGAGGATGCGCTATGGGGAGCAGAGGATGCGCTATGGGGAGCAGAGGATGCCCTATGGGACCCTATGGGGAGCAGAGGACGCGCTATGGGGAGCAGAGGACGCGCTATGGGGCCGGGCCGGTACCTGCTTGTCCCGGCGCGCCGCGGCCGCGTCCTGCACCAGCTGCTGCCGCAGGATGAAGCCGGCCCGGAGCAGCTCCGCGCGGCGCTGCAGAGCCTCCCGCTCCCGCCGGCCCAGCTCCCTGCACACATACATATACATCTATAGCATCTATAGAGACCTATAGAGACCTATAGAGACCTAGAGACACCTAGAGACACCTATAGGCGCTGCAGAGCCTCCCGCTCCCGCCGGCCCAGCTCCCTGCACGCACATACATACATATAGCATCTATAGCATCTATAGAGACCTATGGACACCTAGAGACACCTAGAGACACCTATAGACACCTATAGGCGCTGCAGAGCCTCCCGCTCCCGCCGGCCCAGCTCCCTGCAGGCATACATACATATAGCATCTATAGCATCTATAGCATCTATAGACACCTATAGGCGCTGCAGAGCCTCCCGCTCCCGCCGGCCCAGCTCCCTGCATGCACATACATACATATACATCTATAGCATCTATAGAGACCTATGGACACCTATAGGTGCTGCAGAGCCTCCCGCTCCCGCCGGCCCAGCTCCCTGCACACATACATACATATAGCATCTATAGACACCTATAGAGACCTATAGACACCTATAGAGACCTATAGACACCTATAGGCGCTGCAGAGCCTCCCGCTCCCGCCGGCCCAGCTCCCTGCATGCATACATACATATACACCTATAGCATCTATAGACACCTATAGACACCTATAGAGACCTATAGGCGCTGCAGAGCCTCCCGCTCCCGCCGGCCCAGCTCCCTACAGGCACATACACATATACATCTATAGCATCTATAGACATCTATAGACACCTATAGAGACCTATAGACACCTATAGGCGCTGCAGAGCCTCCCGCTCCCGCCGGCCCAGCTCCCTGCAGGCACATACATACATATACACCTATAGCATCTATAGAGACCTATAGAGACCTATAGACACCTATAGACACCTATAGACACCTATAGACACCTATAGGCGCTGCAGAGCCTCCCGCTCCCGCCGGCCCAGCTCCCTGCAGGCACATACATACATATACATCTATAGCATCTATAGAGACCTATAGACACCTATAGAGACCTATAGGCGCTGCAGAGCCTCCCGCTCCTGCCGGCCCAGCTCCCTGCATGCATATACACATATACACCTATAGCATCTATAGACACCTAGAGACACCTATAGAGACCTATAGAGACCTATAGACACCTATAGGCGCTGCAGAGCCTCCCACTCCCGCCGGCCCAGCTCCCTGCATGCACATACATACATATACACCTATAGCATCTATAGACACCTAGAGACACCTATAGGCGCTGCAGAGCCTCCCGCTCCCGCCGGCCCAGCTCCCTGCACACATATACAGCATCTATAGCATCTATAGACACCTATAGACACCTATAGACACCTATAGACACCTATAGGCGCTGCAGAGCCTCCCGCTCCCGCCGGCCCAGCTCCCTGCACACACATACATATACATCTATAGAGACCTATAGAGACCTATAGACACCTATAGACACCCTACACACATATAGCATCTATGGGGACCTATAGCATCTATAGACACCTATAGGCGCTGCAGAGCCTCCCGCTCCTGCCGGCCCAGCTCCCTGCAGGCACATACACATATACATCTATAGAGACCTATAGAGACCTATAGACACCTATAGACACCTATAGACACCTATAGAGACCTATAGACACCTATAGACACCTATAGACACCTATAGACACCTATAGACACCTATAGGCGCTGCAGAGCCTCCCGCTCCCGCCGGCCCAGCTCCCTGCACACATATAGCATCTATGGAGACCTATAGACACCTATAGACACCTATAGCATCTACAGACACCTAGAGACACCTATAGACACCTAGAGACACCTATAGCACCTATAGACACCTATAGAGACCTATAACACCTATAGACACCTATACACACCTATAGGCGCTGCAGAGCCTCCCACTCCCGCCGGCCCAGCTCCCTGCATGCACACACATACCTATAGCATCTATAGCATCTATAGACACCTATAGAGACCTATAGACACCTAGAGACACCTATAGCACCTACAGACACCTATAGAGACCTATAACACCTATAGACACCTATAGACACCTATAGACACCTATAGACACCTATAGGCGCTGCAGAGCCTCCCGCTCCCGCTGGCCCAGCTCCCTGCACACACATACAGCATCTATAGCATCTATAGACACCTATGGCACCTAAAGACACCTATAGACACCTATAGACACCTATAGACACCTAGAGACACCTATGGTACCTATAGACACCTATAGACACCTGCGGAAATCTATAGAGACCTATAGACACCTACGGAGACCTATAGAGATCTATAGCACTTATAGACACCTATGGCACCTATAGAGACCTACAGACATCTATAGACACCTATAGCACCTATAGACACCTATAGACATCTATAGACACCTAGAGACACCTACGGAGACCTATAGACACCTATAGAGACCAATAGACAGACACCTATAGACACCTACAGCACCTATAGACACCTATAGACACCTATCGAGACCTATAGACACCTATAGACCGCCATAAACATCTATAGCACCTATAGACACCCATAGCACATATAAACACCATAGACCCCCACAGAGCCCCCAGCCCCCCATAGAGCCCCCAGCCCCCCACAGAGCCCCCAGCCCCCCATAGAGCCCCCAGCTCCCCATAGAGCCCCCCCAGCCCCCCCTGGCTCTCACTTGCAGGTGTTGTCGCAGGCAGCCCCACTGCTGTACTCATCGGTGGCGTCGCAGCAATCTGGGGGGGCAACACATGGGACCCACACCTGGACCCCCAACCTGACCCACACCTGGACCCACACCCTGACCCACACCCGGACCCACACCCGGACCCACACCCGGACCCACACCTGGACCCACACCTGGACCCACACCTGGACCCACACCTGGACCCACACCTGGACCCACACCTGGACCCACACCTGGACCCACACCTGGACCCACACCTGGACCCACACCCGGACCCACACCTGGACCCACACCTGGACCCACACCCTGACCCACACCTGGACCCACACCTGACCCACCCACCCACACCTGGACCCACACCTGACCCACACCCGGACCCACACCTGACCCACACCTGGACCCACACCTGGACCCACACCTGGACCCACACCTGGACCCACACCTGACCCACACCTGACCCACACCCGGACCCACACCTGGACCCACACCTGGACCCACACCTGGACCCACACCTGACCCACACCTGACCCACACCCGGACCCACACCCGGACCCACACCTGGACCCACACCTGACCCACACCTGACCCACACCCGGACCCACACCTGGACCCACACCCTGACCCACATCCTGACCCACATCCTGGCCCACACCCTGACCCCCAACCTGACCCACACCTGGACCCACACCTGGACCCACACCCGGACCCACACCTGACCCACACCTGGACCCACACCCGGACCCACACCCGGACCCACACCCGGACCCACACCTGGACCCACACCTGGACCCACACCCTGACCCACACCTGGACCCACACCTGGACCCACACCTGACCCACACCTGGACCCACACCTGGACCCACACCCGGACCCACACCCGGACCCACACCCTGACCCACACCCTGACCCACACCCTGACCCACACCCTGACCCACACCCTGACCCACACCTAACCCACACCTGGACCCACACCCTGACCCACACCTGACCCACACCTGGACCCACACCCGGACCCACACCCGGACCCACACCTGGACCCACACCCTGACCCCCACCCTGACCCCCAAGCTGAGCCCACCCTGACCCACATCCTGACCCCCAACCTGACCCACACCTGGACCCACACCTGGACCCACACCCGGACCCACACCCGGACCCACACCCGGACCCACACCTGACCCACACCTGGACCCACACCCGGACCCACACCCGGACCCACACCCGGACCCACACCTGGACCCACACCCGGACCCACACCTGGACCCACACCTGGACCCACACCCGGACCCACACCTGACCCACACCTGGACCCACACCTGACCCACACCTGGACCCACACCCTGACCCACACCCTGACCCACACCTGACCCACACCTGGACCCACACCCGGACCCACACCCGGACCCACACCTGGACCCACACCTGGACCCACACCTGGACCCACACCCGGACCCACACCTGGACCCACACCTGACCCACACCCTGACCCACACCTGGACCCACACCTGGACCCACACCTGGACCCACACCCGGACCCACACCCGGACCCACACCCGGACCCACACCTGACCCACACCCGGACCCACACCCGGACCCACACCTGGACCCACACCCGGACCCACACCTGACCCACACCCGGACCCACACCTGGACCCACACCTGGACCCACACCTGGACCCACACCTGGACCCACACCCTGACCCACACCCTGACCCACACCCTGACCCACACCTGGACCCACACCCTGACCCACACCTGGACCCACACCTGGACCCACACCTGGACCCACACCCGGACCCACACCCGGACCCACACCTGGACCCACACCTGGACCCACACCCGGACCCACACCCGGACCCACACCTGGACCCACACCCTGACCCACACCCTGACCCCCAACCTGACCCACACCCGGACCCCCAACCTGACCCACACCCTGACCCACACCTGGACCCACACCTGACCCACACCCGGACCCACACCTGGACCCACACCTGACCCACACCTGGACCCACACCCTGACCCACACCCGGACCCACACCTGACCCACACCTGGACCCACACCTGACCCACACCTGGACCCACACCCTGACCCACACCCTGACCCCCAACCTGACCCACACCCTGACCCACACCCTGACCCACACCCTGACCCACACCCTGACCCACACCCTGACCCCCACCCTGACCCACACCCTGACCCACACCCTGACCCACACCTGGACCCACACCCTGACCCACACCTGGACCCACACCCTGACCCACACCCTGACCCACACCTGACCCACACCTGGACCCACACCCGGACCCACACCCGGACCCACACCTGGACCCACACCTGGACCCACACCCGGACCCACACCCGGACCCACACCTGGACCCACACCCTGACCCCCACCCTGACCCCCAAGCTGAGCCCACCCTGACCCACATCCTGACCCACACCCTGACCCACACCTGGACCCACACCTGACCCACACCTGGACCCACACCCTGACCCACACCCTGACCCACACCTGGACCCACACCTGACCCACACCTGGACCCACACCCTGACCCACACCCTGACCCACACCTGACCCACACCTGGACCCACACCTGACCCACACCTGGACCCACACCCTGACCCACACCCTGACCCCCAACCTGACCCACACCCTGACCCACAGCCTGACCCACACCCTGACCCACACCCTGACCCACACCCTGACCCCCATCCTGACCCCCAAGCTGAGCCCACCCTGACCCACATCCTGACCCCCACCCTGACCCACACCCTGACCCACACCCTGACCCACACCCGGACCCACACCCACCGCAGACGCCGTCGTTGACGTGGGCTGAGGGGATGCTCTGGGGCCGGTACCCGGCGTTGGTGCAATGGAAGCGGCCGTTGGGGCAGGCGGGGGTGCCTGGGGGGCAGAACATGGGGGGCTGCAGGGTACGGGGGGGGCCTATAGGGTACATAGGGGGTCTATAGGATGCAGAGGGGTTCCTATAGGATACATAGGGGGTCTATAGGATGCAGAGGGGTTCCTATAGGATACATAGGGGGTCTATAGGATGCAGAGGGGTTCCTATAGGATACATAGGGGGTCTATAGGATGCAGAGCAGTGTCTATACGACGCATAGAGGTCCTACAGGATACATAGGGGTCTATGGGGCATGCAGGGGTCTATGGCGCACAAGGGGGCTATGGGGCACGCAGGATCTATGGGGCACGCAGGATCCATGGGGCACGCAGAATCCATGGGGCACGCGGGGGCTATGGGGCACGCGGGATCCATGGGGCACACAGCATCCATGGGGCACACAGGATCCATGGGGCACACAGCATCCATGGGGCACGTGGGGGCTATGGGGCACGCAGGATCCATGGGGCACACAGCATCCATGGGGCACACGGCATCCATGGGGCACACGGGATCCATGGGGCACACGGGATCCATGGGGCACACATGGTCTATGGGGCACGCGGCATCCATGGGGCACACAGGATCCATGGGGCACACGGCATCCATGGGGCACACGGGATCTATGGGGCACACATGGTCTATGGGGCACGCAGGGGTCTATGGGGCACGCGGCATCCATGGGGCACACAGGATCCATGGGGCACGCAGGGTCTATGGGGCACGCGGCATCCATGGGGCACACAGGATCTATGGGGCACACAGGATCCATGGGGCACGCAGGGTCCATGGGGCACACAGCATCCATGGGGCACGCGGGATCCATGGGGCACGCAGGATCCATGGGGCACACATGGTCTATGGGGCACACAGCATCCATGAGGCACACGGGATCTATAGGGCACACAGGATCCATGGGGCACGCGGGGGTCTATGGGGCACACAGCATCCATGGGGCACACAGGATCCATGGGGCACACGGGATCCATGGGGCACACGGGATCCATGGGGCACACGGGGTCTATGGGGCACGCGGCATCCATGGGGCACGCGGGGTCCATGGGGCACGCAGGGTCCATGGGGCACGCAGGGTCCATGGGGCACACATGGTCTATGGGGCACACAGCATCCATGGGGCACGCAGGATCCATGGGGCACACATGGTCTATGGGGCACACAGGATCCATGTGGCACACAGGATCCATGGGGCACACAGGGGTCTATGGGGCACACAGCATCCATGGGGCACACAGCATCCATGGGGCACGCAGGATCCATGGGGCACGCAGGATCCATGGGGCACGCAGGGGTCTATGGGGCACGCGGCATCCATGGGGCATGCGGGGGCTATGGGGCACGCGGGATCTATGGGGCACACGGGATCTATGGGGCACACGGCATCCATGGGCACACAGGATCCATGGGGCACACATGGTCTATGGGGCACACAGGATCTATGGGGCACACGGGATCTATGGGGCACGCAGCATCCATGGGGCACCCAGGATCCATGGGGCACGCAGCATCCATGGGGCACCCAGGATCCATGGGGCACGCAGCATCCATGGGGCACCCAGGATCTACGGGGCACACAGGATCCATGGGGCACACAGGATCCATGGGGCACGCGGGGGCTATGGGGCACGCGGGATCTATGGGGCACACGGGGTCCATGGGGCACCCAGGATCTATGGGGCACACAGGATCCATGGGGCACGCAGCATCCATGGGGCACACATGGTCTATGGGGCACACAGCATCCATGAGGCACACGGGATCTATAGGGCACACAGCATCCATGGGGCACACAGGATCTATGGGGCACACAGGATCCATGGGGCACGCGGGGGCTATGGTGCACACAGGATCTATGGGGCACGCAGCATCCATGGGGCACGTGGGGTCCATGGGGCACACATGGTCTATGGGGCACACAGGATCCATGGGGCACGCGGGGGCTATGGGGCACGCGGGATCTATGGGGCACGCAGCATCCATGGGGCACACAGGATCTATGGGGCACGCAGCGTCCATGGGGCACGCGGGGCTCACCGGGCTCGTCGGAGCCGTCGCGACAGTCGCAGTAGTCGTCGTTGACCCACGCGAAGGCAACGGTGGCCGAGCCGTCGAGGCACGTGAAGGGCTTGGAGGCCTCGTAGAAGTGGTGGTCTGGGGGGGGGGAGGGGCACAGGGGGTTTGGGGGGGGGATGGGGGGATGGAGTCCAGTATAGGGGGTATGGGGGGTATGGGGGGTATAGAGATGAATGGGGATGTACAGAGTGCCCTATAGGGATGTATGGGGCTGTATGGGGCTGTATAGGGATGTATGGGGATGTACAGAGTGCCCTATAGGGATGTATGGGGATGTATGGGGCTGTATGGGGATGTATGGGGATGTACAGAGTGCCCTATAGGGATGTATGGGGATGTATGGGGCTGTATGGGGATGTATGGGGATGTACAGAGTGCCCTATAGGGATGTATGGGGATGTACAGAGTGCCCTATAGGGATGTATGGGGATGTACAGAGTGCCCCATAGGGATGCATAGGGCTGTATGGGGCTGTATAGAGATGTATGGGGATGTACAGAGTGCCCCATAGGGATGCATAGGGCTGTATGGGGCTGTATAGGGATGTATGGGGATGTACAGAGTGCCCTATAGGGATGCATAGGGCTGTATGGGGCTGTATAGGAATGAATGGGGATGTACAGAGTGCCCTATAGGGCTGTATGGAGATGTACAGAGTGCTCTATAGGGCTGTATGGGGCTCTATAGGGATGAATGGGGATGTACAGAGTCCCCCATAGGGATGTATGGGGCTGTATGGGGCTGTATAGGGATGAATGGGGCTGTATGGGGCTGTATAGGGACGAATGGGGCTGTATGGGGATGAATGGGGCTGTATGGGGCTCTATGGGGCTGTATAGGGCTCTATGGGGCTCTATGGGGCTCTATGGGGCTCTATAGGGCTCTATGGGGCTCTATGGGGGGTGTGTATCTCTATAGGGCTCTATGGGGCTCTATAGGGCTCTATGGGGCTCTATGGGGCTCTATGGGGCTCTATGGGGCTCTATGGGGCTCCATGGGGCTCTATGGGGCTCTATGGGGCTGTATGGGGATGAATGGGGCTCTATGGGGCTCTATAGGGCTCCATGGGGCTCTATGGGGCTCCATGGGGCTCTATGGGGCTCCATGGGGCTCTATGGGGCTCTATAGGGCTCCATGGGGCTCTATGGGGCTCTATGGGGCTCCATGGGGCTCTATGGGGCTCTATGGGGCTCTATGGGGCTCTATGGGGCTCCATGGGGCTCCATGGGGCTCTATGGGGCTCTATGGGGCTGTATAGGGATGAATGGGGCTCTATGGGGCTCTATGGGGCTCTATGGGGCTCTATGGGGATGAATGGGGCTGTATAGGGATGAATGGGGCTCTATGGGGCTCTATGGGGCCGGTACTCACTGGACAGGGAGACCCCGCGGGGCCGCAGCACCTCCACGGAGCCCGGAGCCGCCGGCACCGGGAGCAGCAGCAGCAGCAGCAGCAGCAGCAGCAGCAGCATCCCGAGGTGTCGATGGGGCACCTGTGGGGCACCTGTGGGGCACAGCGCTTATAGAACACAGCCCCTATGGGGCACAGCGTCTATGGGGCAGAGCCTGTGGGGCACCTATGGGGCACCGCCTGTGGGGCACAGAGCCTGTGGGGCACTGAGCCTGTGGGGCACAGAGCCTATGGGGCGCCTATGGGGCACCTATGGGGCACAGAGCCTGTGGGGCACAGAGCCTATGGGGCACCTATGGGGCACAGCGCCTGTGGGGCACCTGTGGGGCACAGAGCCTGTGGGGCACAGAGCCTATGGGGCGCCTATGGGGCACCTATGGGGCACAGAGCCTGTGGGGCACAGAGCCTATGGGGCGCCTATGGGGCACCTATGGGGCACAGAGCCTGTGGGGCACAGAGCCTGTGGGGCACAGCGCCTATGGGGCACAGCCCCTATGGGGCAGCTATGGGGCACAGCGCCTGTGGGGCTCAGCGCCTGTGGGGCACAGAGCCTGTGGGGCTCAGAGCCTGTGGGGCAGAGCGCCTATGGGGCACAGAGCCTGTGGGGCAGAGCCTATGGGGCACAGAGCCTGTGGGGCAGAGCCCCTATGGGGCTCAGCGCGCACAGAACCCCCTGCAGCGGCCCTGCCCTCCCCCTGCTGCACCCCCCACCCCCCACGGCCTCTCCCCATCCCTGCCCCCACCCCCGGCCCCCACGGGGGTTCCCTATGGGTCCCCCCCACCCCCCCCGAGCTGCCCCTCCCCCCAGCGCCCCCTCCCCCTCCCCCCACCGCCCCCCGGAACCCCCCGGTACCTCGGGCCCGTCCGCGCGCCTCCCGGCCAGGCTGCACGCACCGGAACCGGAAGCGGACGAGGAAGAACATCCGGTGGCGCCGAGGCCGGAGCCGCCATCTTGAGCGTGGCACTTCCCCTCAGGGCGCCGCCATCTTGAGTGCGCCGCCATCTTGAGTGTGGCACATGGGAGCCGCCATCTTGTGTGCGCCAAAGCAGCGCTTCCCTCAGGGCGCCGCCATCTTGAGTGTGGCACTTCCCCACGGGGCGCCGCCATCTTGAGTGCGCCGCCATTTTGAGTGTGGCCCATGGGAGCCGCCATCTTGAGTGCGCCACAGCAGAGCCTCCCTTAGGGCGCAGCCATATTGAATGTGGCGCCACAGCAGCACTTCCCTCAGGGCTCCGCCATCTTGAGTGTGGCTCGTTGGAGCCGCCATCTTGAGTGCGCCACAGCAGCGCTTCCCTCAGGGCGCCACCATCTTGGATGTGGCTCATGGGAGCTGCCATATTCTGTGCTCCGCCATCTTGAGCGTGGCTCATGGGAGCCGCCATCTTGAGTGCGCCACAGCAGAGCGTCCATCATGGCTCTGCCATCTTGAGTGTGGCTCATGGGAGCCGCCATCTTGAGTGTGCCACAGCAGAGCCTCCCTTAGGGCGCAGCCATATTGAATGTGGCGCTGCAACGCTTCCCTCTGGGTGCCGCCATCTTGTGTGCGCCACAGCAGCACTTCCATCAGGGCGCCATCTTGGATGTGGCTCATGGGAGCCGCCATCTTGAGTGCACCACAGCAGAGCCTCTGTCAGGGCGCAGCCATATTGAATGTGGCACCACAACGCTTCCCTCAGGGCGCCACCATCTTGGATGTGGCTCATCGGAGCCACCGTATTCTGTGCTCCGCCATCTTGAGTGTGGCTCACGGGAGCCACCATCTTGAGTGTGCCACAGCAGTCTCCATCAGGGCACAGCCGCCATCTTGGATGTGGCTCATGGGAGCCGCCATCTTGAGAGCGCTCTCCTCAGGGTGCCGCCATCTTGGATGTGGCTCATGGGAGCCACCATCTTGAGTGCACCACAGCAGAGCCTCCGTCAGGGCTCAGCCATATTGAATGTGGCTCATCGGAGCCGCCATCTTGCATGTGCCACAGCAGAGCCTCCATCAAGGCGCCGCCATCTTGAGTGTGGCTCATGGGAGCCGCCATCTTGAGAGCGCTCTCCTCCGGGCGCCGCCATCTTGGATGTGGCTCATGGGAGCTGCCATCTTGAGCGTGGCTCATGGGAGCCGCCATCTTGAGAGCGCTCTCCTCAGGGCGCCGCCATCTTGAGTGTGGCTCATGGGAGCCGCCATCTTGAGAGCGCTCTCCTCAGGGCGCCGCCATCTTGGATGTGGCTCATGGGAGCCGCCATCTTGAGCATGTCTCCTTGGCGCCGCCATCTTGAGCGTGGCTCATGGGAGCCGCCATCTTGAGAGCGCTCTCCTCAGGGCGCCGCCATCTTGGATGTGGCTCACGGGAGCCGCCATCTTGAGTGTGGCTCATGGGAGCCGCCATCTTGAGCGTGTCTCCTTGGCGCCGCCGATTGGACGCGGCACGAGGGCTGTGGGTCACCAAGAGCTTTATTGGGGGGGTTCACTGCGGGGGGGCGGGGGTGGGGGCGGGGCCGTGGCCCGGGGGCAGCACCCGCCGGGAGTTCTCCCGCACCCATGGGTGCTGCAGGACCTGCGCCAGGGGCAGCCGCTGGGGGGCGCTGTAGCGCAGCAGCCGCGTGATGAGGTCACGGGCGCCCTCCGGCACTTCCGGGGGGAAGCGAAGGTCCACCTATGAGGGAAAGGCGGGAAGGGGCGGGGCATCAGCGGCAGCCAATGGGAGGGCAGGGGTTGCCACCGGCCACACCCCCCCCTTGGGGGTGCCTCACTGGGGGGGGAAGGGGCAATGAGGGACCCCTGTAAAAGGGGGCAATGGGGCTGGGGGGCACTTGTGGGTCTCTATGGGTCCGGGGGGCACTCGTGGGTCTCTATGGGGTTTGGGAGCACTTGTGGGTCTCTATGGGTCCGGGGGGCACTTGTGGGTCTCTATGGGTCCGGGGGACACTTGTGAGTCTCTATGGGTCCGGGGGGCACTTGTGGGTCTCTATGGGTCCGGGGGGCACTTGTGGGTCTCTATGGGTCCGGGGGGCACTTGTGGGTCTCTATGGGGCCGGGGGCACTCGTGGGTCTCTATGGGGTTGGAGGGCACTTGTGGGTCTCTATGGGACCGGGGGGCACTTGTGGGTCTCTATGGGGTTGGAGGGCACTTGTGGGTCTCTATGGGGCTGGGGGCACTTGTGGGTCTCTATGGGTCTGGGGGGCACTTATGGGTCTTTATGGGTCTGGGGGGCACTCGTGGGTCTCTATGGGTCTGGGGGGCACTTGTGGGTCTCTATGGGTCCGGGGGCACTTGTGGGTCTCTATGGGTCCGGGGGGCACTTGTGGGTCTCTATGGGTCCAGGGGGCACTCGTGGGTCTCTATGGGTCCGGGGGGCACTTGTGGGTCTCTATGGGTCCGGGGGCACTTGTGGGTCTCTATGGGACCAGGGGGCACTTGTGGGTCTCTATGGGTCCGGGGGGCACTTGTGGGTCTCTATGGGTCTGGGGGGCACTTGTGGGTCTCTATGGGTCTGGGGGGCACTTGTGGGTCTCTATGGGTCCGGGGGGCACTTGTGGGTCTCTATGGGACCAGGGGGCACTTGTGGGTCTCTATGGGTCCGGGGGCACTCGTGGGTCTCTATGGGTCCGGGGGGCACTTGTGGGTCTCTATGGGGCTGGGGGGCACTTGTGGGTCTCTATGGGTCTGGGGGGCACTTGTGGGTCTCTATGGGTCCGCGGGGCACTCGTGGGTCTCTATGGGTCCGTGGGGCACTCGTGGGTCTCTATGGGTCCGGGGGGTGTCTATGTGGGTCGCTATGGGTCTCTATGTGGGTCGCTATGGGTCTCTATGGGTCCGGGGGGCACTTGTGGGTCTCTATGGGTCTGTGGGCCACTTGTGGGTCTCTATGGGTCTGGGGGGCACTTGTGGGTCTCCATGGGTCTGGGGGGCACTTGTGGGTCTCTATGGGTCTGGGGGCCACTTGTGGGTCTCTATGGGGCTGGCGCCTACCTTGGTGATGCGCCTGTAGGTGTCGGCCACGCAGGGGCTCTCGAAGGGGGGGGCCCCCACGAGCAGCTCGAAGCAGAGCACCCCCAGGCACCAGAGATCGACCTTCTCGTCGTGCGCGCGCCCCTCCACCATCTCCGGGGGGAGGTAATCCAGGGTCCCGCAGAGCGTGCGCCGCCTGGGGGGCACAGACCCACAGCGCCCCATAGCCGCGCCCCACAGCACGCAATAGCGCCCCATAACCATGCCCAAAGCACGCCCCATAGCGCCCCATAGCACGCAATAGCGCCCCATAGCCATGCCCAAACCATGCCCCATAACCATGCCCAAACCACGCCCCATAGCGCCCCATAGCCGCGACCCACAGCACGCAATAGCGCCCCATAACCATGCCCAAACCACGCCCCATAGCCGCGCCCCACAGCACGCAATAGCGCCCCATAGCCATGCCCAAACCACGCCCCATAGCGCCCCATAGCTGCGCCCCACAGCACGCAATAGCGCCCCATAACCATGCCCAAACCACGCCCCATAGCGCCCCATAGCCGCGCCCCACAGCACGCAATAGCGCCCCATAACCATGCCCAAACCACGCCCCATAACCATGCCCAAACCACGCCCCATAGCCGCGCCCCACAGCACGCAATAGCGCCCCATAACCATGCCCAAACCACGCCCCATAACCATGCCCAAACCACGCCCCACAGCGCCCCATAGCCGCGCCCCACAGCACGCAATAGCGCCCCATAACCATGCCCAAACCACGCCCCATAACCATGCCCAAACCACGCCCCATAGCCGTGCCCCACAGCACGCAATAGTGCCCCATAACCATGCCCAAACCACACCCCACAGCGCCCCATAGCACGCAATAGCGCCCCATAACCATGCCCAAACCACACCCCACAGCGCCCCATAGCCGCGACCCACAGCACGCAATAGCGCCCCATAACCATGCCCAAACCACGCCCCATAGCGCCCCATAGCCGCGACCCACAGCACGCAATAGGGCCCCATAACCATGCCCAAACCACGCCCCATAGCACCCCATAACCATGCCCAAACCACGCCCCACAGCGCCCCATAGCCGCGCCCCACAGCACGCAATAGGGCCCCATAACCATGCCCAAACCACGCCCCATAGCACCCCATAACCATGCCCAAAGCACACCCCATAGCACCTCATAACCATGCCCAAACCACACCCTATAGTGACCCATAACCATGCCCAAACCACGCCCCATAGCGCCCCATAGCCGCGCCCCACAGCACGCAATAGGGCCCCATAACCATGCCCAAACCACGCCCCATAGCGCCCCATAGCCGCGACCCACAGCACGCAATAGGGCCCCATAACCATGCCCAAAGCACGCCCCATAGCACCTCATAACCATGCCCAAACCACACCCTATAGTGACCCATAACCATGCCCAAACCACGCCCCATAACCATGCCTCATAGCACCCCATAACCATGCCTAAACAACACCCCATAACCATGCCTCATAGCACCCCATAACCATGCCTAAACACCCCATAACCATGCCTCATAGCACCCCATAACCATGCCTAAACAACACCCCATAACCATGCCTAAACACCCCATAACCATGCCTAAACACCCCATAACCATGCCTAAACACCCCATAACCATGCCTAAACACCCCATAACCATGACCAAACCACACCCCATAGCGACCCATAGCCATGCCCAAACCATGTCCCATAGCACCCCATAACCATGCCCAAACCACGCCCCATAGCACCCCATAACCATGCCCAAACCACGCCCCATAGTGACCCATAGCCATGCCCAAACCATGCCCCACAGTGCCCCATAATCGCGCCCCATAGCGCTCCCTAATGCCCCGTAACTCCCCATAACCGTGCCCCATAGCTCCCCATAACCGTGCCCCATAGCTCCCCATAACCGTGCCCCATAACTGTGCCCCATAACCGTGCCCCATAGCTCCCCATAACCATGCCCCATAACCGTGCCCCATAACCGTGTCCCATAGCTCCCCATAACCGTGCCCCATAGCGCCGCCCCATAACCGTGCCCCATAGCTCCCCATAACCGTGCCCCATAGCTCCCCATAACCGTGCCCCATAGCGCCCCATAACCGTGCCCCATAGCTCCCCATAACCGTGCCCCATAGCCACCCATAACCGTGCCCCATAACCGTGCTCCATAACTGCCCCCCATAACCGCCGCCCCATAGCGCCGCCCCATAACCATGCCCCATAACTCCCCATAACTGTGCCCCATAGCTCCCCATAACCGTGCCCCATAACCGTGCCCCATAACCGTGCCCCATAACCGTGCCCCATAGCTCCCCATAACCGTGCCCCATAACCGTGCCCCATAACCGTGCCCCATAGCTCCCCATAACCGTGCCCCATAACCGTGCCCCATAGCACCGCCCCATAGCGCCCCATAACCGTGCCCCATAGCTCCCCATAACCGTGCCCCATAGCACTGCCCCATAGCGCCGCCCCACAGCGCCGCCCCAAACCCGGGCCCCAAAGCGCCGCCCCACAGCGCCGCCCCATAGCCCGCCCCATGCCCCCATAGCACCGTGCCCCATAGCTCCCCATAACCGTGCCCCATAGCTCCCCATAACCGTGCCCCATAGCTCCCCATAACCGTGCCCCATAGCTCCCCATAACCGTGCCCCATAGCGCCGCCCCATAGCGCCGCCCCATACCCGTGCCCCATAGCGCCGCCCCACAGCGCCGCCCCACAGCGGTACCGGAGCGAGGGCGTGTGCACGGACCACCCGAAGTCGGCGATCTTGAGCTCGCCCAGGAAGCCCAGGAGCAGGTTCTCGGGTTTGATGTCCCGGTGGATCACGCGCTTGCTGTGGCAGTACTGGAGCGCGTCCGCCAGCTCCTCCACCAGCTGTGGGGCACAGGACATGGGGGTCAGGGCTGCCCCATAGCGCTGCCCCATAGAGCACACCTAGCCCCATAGAGCACCCATAGCTGTGGCAGTACTGGAGCGCGTCCGCCAGCTCCTCCACCAGCTGTGGGGCACAGGACATGGGGGTCAGGGCTGCCCCATAGCGCTGCCCCATAGAGCACACCTAGCCCCATAGAGCACCCACAGCTGTGGCAGTACTGGAGCGCGTCCGCCAGCTCCTCCACCAGCTGTGGGACATGGGGGTCAGGGCTGCCCCATAGCGCTGCCCCATAGCGCTGCCCCATAGAGCACACACAGCCCCATAGAGCACCCATAGCTGTGGCAGTACTGGAGCGCGTCCGCCAGCTCCTCCACCAGCTGTGGGGCACAGGACATGGGGGTCAGGGCTGCCCCATAGCGCTGCCCCATAGCGCTGCCCCATAGAGCACCCATAGCTGTGGCAGTACTGGAGCGCGTCCGCCAGCTCCTCCACCAGCTGTGGGGCACAGGACATGGGGGTCAGGGCTGCCCCATAGCGCTGCCCCATAGCGCTGCCCCATAGCGCTGCCCCATAGAGCACACACAGCCCCATAGAGCACCCATAGCTGTGGCAGTACTGGAGCGCGTCCGCCAGCTCCTCCACCAGCTGTGGGGCAGAGGACATGGGGGTCAGGGCTGCCCCATAGCGCTGCCCCATAGCGCTGCCCCATAGAGCACACACAGCCCCATAGAGCACCCATAGCTGTGGCAGTACTGGAGCGCGTCCGCCAGCTCCTCCACCAGCTGTGGGACATGGGGGTCAGAGCTGCCCCATAGCGCTGCCCCATAGAGCACCCACAGCTGTGGCAGTACTGGAGCGCGTCCGCCAGCTCCTCCACCAGCTGTGGGGCACAGGACATGGGGGTCAGGGCTGCCCCATAGAGCACACATAGCCCCATAGAGCACACACAGCCCCATAGAGCACCCATAGCTGTGGCAGTACTGGAGCGCGTCCGCCAGCTCCTCCACCAGCTGTGGGGCACAGGACATGGGGGTCAGAGCTGCCCCATAGCGCTGCCCCATAGAGCACGCACCCTGGCGGTGCACGCGGCGTCAAAGCGCCCGCAGCGCTGCAGCTCCACCCCACAGAGCACCCATAGCTCAGCCCCACAGAGCACCCCCAGCCCCACAGCTCCGCCCCATAGAGCACTCACCGTGGCGGTGTGCGCGGCGTCGAAGCGCCCGCAGCGCTGCAGCTCCGCCCCACAGAGCACCCCCAGCCCCATAGCTCTGCCCCATAGCTGTGCCCCATAGAGCACTCACCGTGGCGGTGCGCGCGGCGTCGAAGCGCCCGCAGCGCTGCAGCTCCGCCCCACAGAGCACCCCCAGCCCCATAGCTCTGCCCCATAGCTCAGCCCCACAGCTCCGCCCCATAGAGCACTCACCGTGGCGGTGCGCGCGGCGTCGAAGCGCCCGCAGCACTGCAGCCCCGCCCCACAGAGCCCCCATAGATCTGCCCCACAGAGCACCCACAGCTCTGCCCCACAGAGCACCCCCAGCCCCATAGAGCACCCCCAGCCCCATAGCTCTGCCCCACAGCTCTGCCCCATAGCTCTGCCCCATAGAGCACCCCCAGCCCCACAGAGCACCCCCAGCCCCACAGCTCTGCCCCATAGCTCTGCCCCACAGAGCACCCCCAGCCCCATAGCTCTGCCCCATAGCTCAGCCCCACAGAGCACCCCCAGCCCCACAGCTCTGCCCCATAGCTCAGCCCCATAGAGCACCCCCAGCCCCATAGCTCTGCCCCACAGCTCTGCCCCATAGCTCAGCCCCACAGCTCTGCCCCACAGCTCTGCCCCACAGCTCCGCCCCACAGAGCGCTCACCGTGGCGGTGCGCGCGGCGTCGAAGCGCCCGCAGCGCTGCAGCTCCTTGTAGAGCTCCCCCCGGGGCGCGAACTCCAGGATGAGGAACACGCGGCGCTCGTCGTGGAAGAAGTTGTAGAGGCGCAGGATGTTGGGGTGCCTGCGGGGGCGGCCAATGGGAGCTCAGAACCAAGGCGGGCGGCCAATGGGAGCTCAGAACCACAGCGGGTGGCCAATGGGAGCTCAGCGCCAAAGCGGGCGGCCAATGAGAGCTCAGCACACAGCGGGTGGCCAATGGGAGCTCAGAACCACAGCGGGCGGCCAATGGGAGCTCGGCGCCACAGCGGACGGCCAATGGGAGCTCGGCGCCACAGCGGGCGGCCAATGGGAGCTCGGTGCCACAGCGGGCGGCCAATGGGAGCTCAGCGCCACAGCGGGCGGCCAATGGGAGCTCAGCGCCACAGCGGGCGGCCAATGGGAGCTCAGCGCCAAAGCGGGCGGCCAATGGGAGCTCAGAACCAAAGCAGGCAGCCAATGGGAGCTGGGACCCCCTCAGTGGCCAATGGGAGCTGGGACCCTCTCAGTGGCCAATGGGAGCTGGGACCCCCTCAGTGGGCAGCCAATGGGAGCTGGGATCCCCCCCACAGGTCTTCCCCACCACCCCACTGGGCCCCCCAAGTGCCACCCACAAACCCCCAGGATCCCTCCAGGGGCTTTAAGTCCCCCCCCCATAGGGACCTCAAGATTTCACCTCCTCACTCAATGGGTGCCACCCCCTAAGTGCCAGCCCCCAAGTGCCACCCCCCAAGTGCTGCCCCATAGGTGCACCCCTTAAGTGCCACCCCCCAAGTGCTGCCCCATAAGTGCACCCCCTAAGTGCCGCCCCATAGGTGCCACCTCCCAACTGCTGCCCCATAAGTGCACCCCCTAAGTACCACCCCCTAAGTGCTGCCCCATAAGTGCACCCCCTAAGTACCACCCTCTAAGTGCCACCCCCAAGTGCTGCCCCATAAGTGCACCCCCTAAGTACCGCCCCATAGGTGCCACCCCCCAAGTGCTGCCCCATAAGTGCACCCCCTAAGTGCCACCCCATAGGTGCCACCCCCAAGTGCTGCCCCATAGGTGCCACCCCCCAAGTGCTGCCCCATAAGTGCACCCCCTAAGTGCCGCCCCATAAGTGCACCCCCTAAGTACCGCCCCATAGGTGCACCCCCTAAGTGCCACCCCATAGGTGCAACCCCCCAAGTGCTGCCCCATAAGTGCGCCCCCTAAGTGCCACCCCATAACTGCTGCCCCCCAAGTGCTGCCCCGTAACTGCTGCCCAACTGCCACCCCCAACTGCCACCCAACTGCTGCCCCATAAGTGCCCCAAATGGTGCCACCCAAGTGCCGCCCCCCCAAGTGCTGGCCCATAACTGCCGCCCCCCAAGTACCATCCCCTAACTGCCGCCCCCCAAGTGCTGCCCCCCAAGTGCTGCCCCCCAAGTGCCGCCCCATAGATGCCGCCCCATAGATGCCAGTACCAGAGGTGGGCCTGGATCTCGACCTCCCTCCGCAGCTGATGCTCCAGCCCCTCCTAAGTGCTGCCCCCCAAGTGCTGTCCCCCAAGTGCCGCCCCATAGATGCCGCCCCATAGATGCTGTTACCGGAGGTGCGCCTGGATCTCGACCTCCCTCCGCAGCTGATGCTCCAGCCCCTCCTAAGCGCTGCCCCCCAAGTGCTGCCCCCCAAGTGCTGCCCCCCAAGTGCCGCCCCATAGATGCCGGTACCGGAGGTGCGCCTGGATCTCGACCTCCCTCCGCAGCTGATGCTCCAGCCCCTCCTAAGCGCTGCCCCCCAAGTGCCGCCCCATAGATGCCGCCCCATAGATGCCGCCCCATAGATGCCGCCCCATAGATGCGGGTACCGGAGGTGCGCCTGGATCTCGACCTCCCTCCGCAGCTGATGCTCCAGCCCCTCCTAAGCGCTGCCCCCCAAGTGCCGCCCCATAGATGCCGCCCCATAGATGCCGCCCCATAGATGCCGGTACCGGAGGTGCGCCTGGATCTCGACCTCCCTCCGCAGCTGATGCTCCAGCCCCTCCTAAGCGCTGCCCCCCAAGTGCCGCCCCCCAAGTGCCGCCCCATAGATGCCGCCCCATAGATGCCGCCCCATAGATGCCGGTACCGGAGGTGCGCCTGGATCTCGACCTCCCTCCGCAGCTGATGCTCCAGCCCCTCCTAAGCGCTGCCCCCCAAGTGCCGCCCCATAGATGCCGGTACCGGAGGTGCGCCTGGATCTCGACCTCCCTCCGCAGCTGATGCTCCAGCCCCTCCTAAGCGCTGCCCCCCTCGAAGTGCCGCCCCATGGAGCCGCCCCAGAGCTTCCGGGGCAGGGACAGCAGCCATGCCGCCCCATAGATGCGGGTACCGGAGGTGCGCCTGGATCTCGAGCTCCCTCCGCAGCTGATGCTCCAGCCCCTCCATGGAGAAGAGCTGCCCCCCATGGGCCCCATAGATGCCGCCCCATAGATGCTGTTACCGGAGGTGCGCCTGGATCTCGACCTCCCTCCGCAGCTGATGCTCCAGCCCCTCCTTCTCGAGCTGGGACTTGAAGAGCACCTTGAGGGCCACGAGCACCTTGGAGCCGCGCTCCCGCGCCAGGTAAACGCGCCCGAACTTGCCCCGGCCCAGCGGGCGCCCGACCTCGAAGTCAGCCATGGAGAAGAGCTTCCTATGGGGCAGGGACAGCAGCCATGGGGCAGCCATGGGGCAGGGACGTGGGGCTGGGGGCAGCAGCCATGGAGAAGAGCTTCCTATGGGGCAGGGACAGCAGCCATGGGGCAGGGACATGGGGGTGAGGGACAGCAGCCATGGGGCAGGGACGTGGGGGTGAGGGACAGCAGCCATGGGGCAGGGACATGGGGGTGAGGGACAGCAGCCATGGGGCAGGGACATGGGGGTGAGGGACAGCAGCCATGGGGCAGGGACGTGGGGCTGGGGGCAGCAGCCATGGGGCAGGGACATGGGGGTGAGGGACATGGGGCAGGGACGTGGGGCTGGGGGCAGCAGCCATGGGGCAGGGACATGGGGGTGAGGGACAGCAGCCATGGGGCAGGGACGTGGGGCTGGGGGCAGCAGCCATGGGGGGGCTGGGGGCAGCAGCCATGGGGCAGCCATGGGGCAGGGATGTGGGGCTGGGGGCAGCAGCCATGGGGCAGCCATGGAGCAGGGACATGGGGGTGGGGGGGGACAGCAGCCATGGGGCAGGGACACCTATGGGGCACCGGGGGGGATGACAGCACCCATGGGGGGGATGGGGGGCCATGGACACCTATGGGGCACCTGGGGGGGGGTCAGGGGTGTGGGGTGACAGCACCCATGGGGGGGAAAGGGGGATGGGGGGGCAGGGACACCTATGGGGCACCGAGAGTGGGGTCAGGGGTGACAGCACCCATGGGTGGGGAATGGGGGGCAGGACACCTATGGGGCACCTAGAGCGGGGGCTCAGGGCTATGGGGCACAGGGTAACAGCACCCATGGGTTGGGAATGGGAGGCAGGACACCTATGGGGCACCTAGAGCAAGGCTCAGGGCTATGGGGTGATAGCACCCATGGGTTGGGAATGGGAGGCAGGACACCTATGGGGCACCTAGAGCAGGGGCTCAGGGCTATGGGGCACAGGGTAACAGCACCCATGGGTGGGCAATGGGAACGATGGGGGGGGCATGGACACCTATGGGGCACCTAGAGCAGGGGCTCAGTGCTATGGGGTGATAGAACCCATGGGGAGGGGATGGGGGGCAGGGACACCTATGGGGCACCTAGAGCAGGGACTCAGGGCTATGGGGCACAGGGTAACGGCACCCATGGGTTGGGAATGGGGGGCAGGACACCTATGGGGCACCTAGAGCAGGGGCTCAGGGCTATGGGGTAATAGCACCCATATATAGGGATGGGGGGGCATGGACACCTATGGGGCACCTAGAGCAAGGCTCAGGGCTATGGGGCACAGGGTAACGGCACCCATGGGTGGGTAATGGGGAGCAGGACACCTATGGGGCACCTAGAGCAGGGGCTCAGGGCTATGGGGTGACAGCACCCATATATAGGGATGGGGGGGCATGGACACCTATGGGGCACCTAG